TATGCCCTCGGGACCACTGAACACAGTGGCCGAACGAGAGGTTTAGGACGGAACATTTCTTGGGAGCATGGTTTCCCTGACGACAGAGATACCTACAGAAGCCGGCAGAGAAGGAAGGATGAGGATGCAGCGCGGATCAGCAGGTTGGAGGAATTGGTTCGTGAGTCACGGGAGGCGTTGCTTCAAGCACAGGAGCGTGAAAAAGACATGCAAGCTAGAATGCAGGACGAAATCATAAAGCAAGTGCAAATAGCAATGAGTGCCCAAAGGCAGGCATCAAATCTAGGAATCAACATTAATATTAGCCCCCCTGATCAGTTGAAAAGCAAGCTGCGCTTCCATGGAGTTGCCAAATCAAGATGACGCAATGCTACGTTTCCCCGTGGATGACATCACTGCACCGTTTACATCATATGAGCTACATATTCCAAAAGAGAATGCCACAATCATGGTGGTTCTCGGTGTTTTTTCTCCTCCAGATCCTACCAAGACACCAAGAATCCATGGGGCAATAATACCACGTGGATATGTTAGCGTCTCAGTGGATAGAGTTAACAAAGGTTTTAGTGATCTGGCTCTTGACATTCCAGGAGGTGATGGAGAGAAGACTCTAGGAGAAGCAGAGAACACATTTATACTATGGCGCAAGCGCTACATCATTATTCCCGGGGTCTCTAGTCCACCGCCGCTTCCTCAACTGCCAGACAATAGGTGCGAACAAAAGTGAACGAAACAATTTTTTCACAAATTTTCTATTGACATGCATGATTAATAATAACAATTTCTTATACCTAATTATTCTTTTTTTAATCACACAGCAGGGCCTCCACCAACCTAAGTCCAATTATTCAATCTCCATATCATCATAGTGCTCCGGACAATGATTATGCACCGCCGCCACCTCCAAGGAGGTCTCTAACGCCTCCAAGCAGGTCTCCACCGCCGCCACCTCCAAAGAGGTCTCCAACGCCTCCAAGTAGGTCTCAAACGGTTGCCCCGCCTCCCTTGATGATCAAGAAGCAGCAAGCTCCTAAGAGGTCCGCCCCACAAATGAAGCCATTGGCCCACCAGCCGGCAAAGAAGAAAGCCTCCTCTAATCCAGTTATTCCCCAAAAACTGTCTTACGAGAAAAGTGAAAAGGAATTTAAGGATGCAGTACAAAAAGATGTGAAAAGTTTCTTCGAAAAAGTAAGAAAGCAATGAGAAGCGAGGGAGAACCCGGAGAAACCGTACTTCTACCTAGCTCCAGATCTTCTAAGAAAGAAGGTGGACCAGAAAAAGCGGGAATCTCAAAAGACCCGACCAAAATCGGACTACGACCGCTCTCTCACCAAGTCATTTGAGGTGGCGCAGAAAAAGACTAGAGTAGGAAAAGGTGTTGCACAACTCGGACAACAATCGCAACAATCAATCCCCCCTCTTGTCATTCGTAATGAATATGGTTCAAACTTAGACTTACCGGACGTCGATTTTGAGGAAATGGTTTGATTTTACAAGGATACCGGTTTGGACCTTGCCCAAGTGCTCGCTGAAGGACCATCTGCTCCAAAAGTGGATCCTTGAAAGAAATTTGAACATGGAAAGAGTCTATACAACCCTGAGGCCTTAAGTGAACTGGGTACGCAAATGTACCTGCTAAACAAGTGGTGCATGGCGGCGTGTGAACGGGGAGAGAACTTTATTTCTGTTAGAGTTAGAAACCAACATTACTTCCATGGCGATGACGTTATATATGTCGAGTTTTTAGAATTACACCAACTATGCCACCTAGACTCTCTCGACAAAAGTCTCATTAGCTGCTATTGTCTGTAAGTGTAATTATTTTCTACTATTAAAGTATATATATAAAGCTACATGTATATATATAAATTATATATCCTCACACTATATTTTTATATATGCAGATATGAGATGACAGAACTTAGAAAGAGAAAGGATAATGATGTTGGTTTCATTGATCCAAATGTCGTATTCAAACACCCTGATCCCCCGTCTCAATGGAAAGCTGAACTCGAGAAAAATCTCATGAGGTTCTTAGTGAACCAACAAAACAAGGACATACTCTTCCCCTACAACTTAAGTGAGTGTTAAATAATTAATGTCGATTATATGGACATTTGTTCAATTATTTGCTTACTAGCTAAGCTATCTCCCATATATATATATGTTGACTCTAGTTAATGTCGATCATATCTGTGTATAAAAACATATGCAGCAATCACTGGATATTGATGGTCATCGATATGGCCAATAGTCGGTTGAGCATATTAGACTCGTTAAGAAAAGAGCAAACAGAGTACCAAGACATGGTAGATATTATCCAAGGGTAATTTGGTCTCTCTAGCAACTATATATACCCTAATCTCTTAACTGTAACAATTATTAAAGGCCAAATTAATTTTTTATTTTATTGGGCGTAGTGTTTGGAAAAGTTTCATTGAGGAACACAAACATTGCAAAGCGCCACTGGATGTAATCGCATACAAAGTAAGTACTAGCTACATTTTTATATATATATAATTCAATTAACACCATGCATGCTTTCAATTCACTGGATCTTTTTTCTCGTAAAAGTGGGTTCTGAGGCAAGAACGGGGGAACAACTATTGCGGATACTATGTTTGCGAGTTCATCATGGCGTACTCAAAGAACTCCTGAATAGAACCTTAAAGTACGTTATATAAATATATTCATATATTCACAATTTCTTTTATTGCTCATATATATATATATATAATCATGTGACCAACACACATATATATATATATATATATATTAATACTTTTCCTTTAACTTTTATTGAAGACTCTATGGTTGAAGGAAAAAGTCATACGACGTGACCAACTGAAAGCAATTCACGAGACCATAGCAAGATTTCTTAATGACCAGGTCCTAAACCCCGCCGGACGAGTTCTACAATGACATGAACGAAACATGGAAGCCAAACCAGATGGAGTGAATTTGTTATTCCAAGGATATGCTAGAATATACAATGCAAGATTTATTTGTAATATATATATATATATATACATATTATATGTACATAAAATAATGTACAATATATGTATATGCATGTAATATATATACGTTAGTTTCATACTTTAGTTTGTACAAAATGTTCGAACATATAAACGTGTAGAATACGTATACTATTAGTAGCGTAGAATGCGTATTCGAAAACCTATTCGAAAACCAAAACAATTCATCAATTGAAAATAGAAACAAAAAAAGAAAAAAAAAACCTTTAGTCCCGGTTGGTAATACCAACCGGGACTAAAAACCGACCAATAAACCCATCGGAGGCCTCTTTAGCCGGAGGTTTTAGCCCGGGCGGGATTACCAACCGACTAGTGTCGTAAAGCTGAAACCGGGACTAAAGGAGGGTCCTTTAGTTCCGGATTCGTGCTCCCGGTTCTAAAACCGGGACTGAAGGGGGTTGAGAACCGGGAGTACAGCCCGTTTATGTACCAGTGCCTCTACCAAGTTTGATTCCGATAGTGACATCGGGTTTGGATCTAGCAGTGATCCATGGATCTAGAGTAGTGATAATACAAAGTCACACTCATATACATACATTCATGTACTATATATCACTCTTATGAACTTATGCATGCACATCCCACCCCATATAATGTAGAGAGTCTTCTCATCAATCAAATACTAAGATATACATGATTTCCGGGAACAACTTAAAAATAGGACCTGAAAAATAGAAAGTTATAAAAAACCTCGAGGTCCTATGCAGATTTGTGTTGGTGTTTAGCAATCTTGACCACTAGTTAGCGTGTGCACTGTGCACATCTATCCTAGATATATTGGTCCATAAATCTACTAACACTATCTCCACAAACTATGTACTGAGTGTATATTACTGTCCGGATCGGAGTTCTGAGTTAAGACTATATATCGGCAGCTTATAATTAACCTAAATAAACAACAACGCGTACGACTACTACACTTAATTTGGAGCACTTAATTTGGAGCAACAGGGGGCTATTCTACTTTCTCTCCACCCTCTAGAAAGTACAGTGGAGGACAGGAGGACTTGGTGGCACACCTTAGTCCACGATCATATCGAATCGACCGTGCACGCATCATCTTCTGGAAACACAGCACCCACATATTTGTCATCAAAGATTCCTGTAGCTTGCTAGTTGGCTAGCTTCAACTTATTGATGATGGTATAGATCGAACGGCGGCAACATATCACATCATCAGTAATGATTCTTTAAACTTTTCGAAGCAAAGGTATATACAAGTATCATGATCGAGCTGCTTGCATGGTCACGTTTTCCTTGAAAAGAGAAATGCACAATGCATGAACAGCTACAGCTAGCCAAAGACGGACGCAACAAGATCGAATATTTTCATCTGAAGGAGATCGAGAAACGAAAGAACGGCAAGAAACCACGTCATGCATTATTACGACGCCAAGAAATGTGCTCGATCGATCACCTGACATGACAAAGAACTCCTAACAAGCACACTTAAATCCAAGATGGCGATCTAAATCTGCAATCCTGTAGTGTAGTATCGTAAGACTTCATTAATAAAGGCTAGTTTTCCTCGCAAACCAAACACAGCACAGTGTGCGTACGTACTGTTCAGTTAATCGATGTACGTATGATGTGCTGACAAATAAAACCAAAGCCGCTGCATGCGTACGTACGATAGTAACAGTTAGCAATGGCAACAATAGCAAGACTGCAAGAGGGTGAAAAACACAAGATCTTTGCATTCATCGATTCAAACAGATCTTTAATTATCTCAGGATTATTAGCAGTGTTTAAGCTAATCAAGTTCGTATGTAATTCACATGCATGCTTGTTCATTCAGAACTACGTTAAACAAGAAAGACTAGACCTTCTCACATCACAACTCAATGAACAAGACGGACCCCCCTTATTATTTGAGCAAGAAAAGAAGGCTGTGTTGATTCAGGATAGCTACCTAGCTAATGGGAGGTAGTGGAGGTCTGGAGGAGAGGAGCGAGCACCCGATCAGGAGCAGCCGTTCCGCACCCGGAGCGGGCTGGGGCTGGAGCTGGAGCTGGAGCTGGTGGTGGACGACGACGGCGACGACGTTCGGTCTGGGCGGCGTGTGGTGCAGCACTCGGCGATGAGCGCTCGGCGCGCCGTGAGCAGGCCCGTCGGCACCATGGGGCGGTCGAAGACGGCGCAGTCCACCCAGTCCTTGAGCAGCTTCTCCTGCCCCCACAGCTGCGGGACCCACACCCTCCCCGCCATCTCCCGCCTGTGCCGCTTCAGCCTCTCGCGCGTGCTCTCCGCCGCATCATCTGCCGCCGCCGCCGCCGCCGCCGCGATCTCCTCCACCTCTTCCTTCACCACGGCCTGCTGGTCCTTCTTCTCGTCCCCGTGTTCCTCTGGAGCCGGTGCCGCCGGTGCCTCTGCGGCGGCGTGCTCCTCTGGCGCCGCTGGTGCCGCCGGTGCCACTGCTGCGGCGTGCCCGGGCGCCGATATCTCTTGCTGGTGATCGGGCACGGGCGCCTTGTCATCATGCTGCTCCTGCAGCGTCGCCTCGTCGTTCTCTTCTGTCACGGTTGCTGCTGCTGCCAAGGCGCCTTCAGCTTCGCATGCCTTGGCCTGCTGATCGACGACCTCCTCAGTCTCCGGCAGCGCTTCGACGTCGCTGAATGACGCCATGCAGCCGATGATCTCCATCAAGCTATGCACGCGCGCAACCCAGAACCCCCGCGGTGTCTCGATCGACCAACCCGTACGCAGTGTAGCAACACACCTGTTCTTGGCTGGCTTCAAGCACGGCGCGCGATATAATGCGCGCGCGAGAGGGATGTGGAAAAAGATCAGAGGGCGAGGAGGTGGGGGACGAGGCGGACACGTTAGGAATTAGGAGAGGCCGAAGAGGTTAGGTGGGGGAAGGGCGATCGCCAGTCGTCGCCAGGCGGGGGAGGGAGGGCGCCTCGCCTTCGCCTATGGTGGCCGCGAGGGGAGCGTGGCCTGCTGCCTCCGCGCCTACATGTGGTTGCCCGTGCCGCGCGACGTGGACGGAGGCCTGGTTACTCGTCACAGCAGGTAAAGGTAAAGCCGCGGTGGCGCGCGTAGCATGGGTTCGCGGGTTTTTGGTCGTGTTTGTGAGGCTGGCGGGAGAGCGGGGTGGCCTGGACGCACCAGGGCCAATGGGGTGGTGATACGCACGCCGGATTTGATTTTTCTGCGGGGCCACTGTGCACTCGGCGTCAGCGAGCTGGTGGGCATGCAACTGGGCACCCACGGTCCAGGGTCCACCCGGCCCGGCCTTAAACGCCAGAATCTAACCACCCGGTACTGTGTCTACAGCACAGCGCGATCGATGGGAGAATTGGACTGTGCAGTCTTTGCACCGGACGACAGGAGATCGAGTTTGGCAAGAATGGGATGCAATACGCTCAAATCTTCTTGATTGCAGCCAACGTACGTGCTGACTTTTCAGCTTAAGCTCTCAGCACGGTAAGGGCACGGGCCCCTGATGTTTACAGCTACATGCTCTCGAGCTTATACTTCACCTGTTCCAAAAAGAGGGTAATTCTAGTCTAGGTGTAAAACAAGTCAAACTTTTTTAAGTTTCACAAAAGTAAAGAAAAATATTGGCATTTAGTGTATTTTATAATTAATCTAATGATACTTATTTGCTATTAATTAGAAATATTAGTGATCTAGCGTGTTCTGAGTTTCCTCCGTTCTAATAATGTTAGATCGCCCACTTGATGTGTGAGTTGAGTGATGTCGTGCTGGAGCTCGGAGTAGCCGCGTGTCGAAAAGAAGCGTCATGCACCAATGTGAGGACGGTATCCACTTGAACTTGTAGAATACTCACTAGTCACTACCCACCGAAGGGTGGTAGGAGGAGCCTATGGGTTGTGCCCATAGAGCATTACTCGCACTCTCCCAGGTGGATCCTTCTGCTTCATATATAGGGCTACGGGTGGTATGTTTGGTCCCAACCAGGCTGATACGACCCTGGTTGTTGCCAACTTGCTTGTCCAGCAAATGGCCTGGTTGCCCAGACGAAGGATGGTACGATGCTTGCTACTACTATTGTAGTCGTAGTAGTTCACATTTGGCTCGAGCTCGTGGCATACTCCTTGTCAATCTCCCTGAAACTTTCCTGCAAGCAGCCTCTCTTGTTTCTCCAAAGCAATTGTTAATGATCATGCTTTATACAACCAATATCCCAGTGTAGGCAAAATAATTTCAGTTGTATAGATGCGATAAATCATAACAAGAGATCGATCTAGTGCTTACGTGAGCTTGGATGAAGTGATCTTCACCCAAGCTACACATGGTTTGCTAGAAGGTATTCAATTGAAGCTTTTTTCTAAAACTCCAAGTTTATCGACAATTTGATTGACCAAAGATCTACATTCGATTGCACCCATTCTATTGAAACATCTATTTATTGATGCATCATGTGCATTCTACAGGTGAAACATGTGTCTTCTTTACCATGGCAAGCAACAATTTCAGTTCATTATTTCTTAAAGTTCTCATATCGGCTCTAGTAAAACAAAGTCACTGGAGTCTATGATGCATGAACCAAAGAGTGGGGTTGTGAATGTCATTGGTTCGTGGTAAAGTTGAATCAGTTTGCCTAGAAATCTTTAACGGAAAAGCATTCTTATTAAAAGTTGGCACAACACTATCCAAGCCTATTAGACACTTGCTATTGAAACCAATCATCATTCTAAGGTCATTCCAATTAATAGAATGGTCTTCTCCAAGAAAATCAAAATGTAATGCCCATAGTAGAAGTTTTGAGCATGCATAAAAACTCAATAGTAAGGAGATGTGAGCATTGTTCATGAATTTTCTAGACGTTTTCTCAGCCCACAAAACTGTCTAGAAATCATGAGCCATACCTGTGTTTACTAGGAAGGTTGCGTCATATGCTCGAGTATGTTCGAAGACACGGTCTTTAATCTTGATGTATGTACGCGGCATATTCTTCATCGTCTTTGAACATGAGTTGCTAGTCATTGAGCAACTCAAGTTCGCTGATCTGTTGAGCTCCTTGGCTTGGCTTTGTATCTCCACGGATCATGAACCTCCCAACTCTATTGAATCAGCTGACATGATCTTGGTGTGGCAGAATGGTCCAATGGTTTAATTCATTATTTAGGGCCTAAATGACACGATTTGTTCTTTGTTTACTGTTTAAACATTGTTTAAACAGACTAAACGACTATTTTTAGGCTAACAGTGGGTCTGGCGAACAGTGGGTCTGTAAGATAGACACCAAACAACCAACTCATATAATAACTATAGATTCATTGTCTTTAAGGCGAGCCTTAATGGGGTTTCACGTGGTTTTATTCTTATTTGAAGCTATGACACATTAGTAAATTTGCTTAGTTGGCATGGTATTTATGAGAAAAGAGAAAAATAGAGTTTCATTAGAGCAAGCCCAATAATAAAGCGAAATGCTTGGCTATAAATCAAGTTGTAAGAGTCAAGCTCACTAGTTGTCTTATATTTGTCTATAAAATATTTGTTATTATTATATGGCACTACTGGCTACCTCTGTCTCACATTCTCTTTAGTATTCCTTCCTCACATCTACTCGCTATTTGGGCCACCACTGCATAGGCTCTTGTGTCCAGCTTGTTACTTGTATGAGAGCCAAGCTCTCTCTTTCTCTTCTCCTTCTCTCCTCTATATTGACAAAAATACTGGCTAACTTGGCTATAAGCCCATTATTATACTTGCTCTTAGGACGAAACACATCCATCACTTTACCTACACAATGAAATGCAATGAAACCTCCCCCAAGACCACCAATTTGTTTCATTTTCACGTGCTCTTTAGGATCTTCTGCGTGAGATAACCAAAGAATTGTATGCAACTTGCAAGGCTATATATTTCATATGCCATATTTGATCATAGAACCATATCACAATTAAATGATGTGGCTACCCTATAAAATTGTGTCATGAAACTATGCACTGAGATAGACGGTTTTATTTACTTATAAAGTTGATGCGGCACTCTTGGCAACCGTGCATTGAGATTGGCCTAATTTTCAAGTAGTTTTTATTCTTCAGTCTAGCCTACCTCCACTACCCGTCTGCATTTTATTGTAGCAAGAGAGCAAGATGATACTCCCTCTGTCCCAAAATAGTTGTCACTATGGTATCTGTACCAATCAAACTTTTGTATCTCTAAATAAGTTTATTATAAAAATAGATTCAACGATCTATCCGATGATACTAATTATGTATTATAAATATTAATATTTTCTTTTATATATTTCGTCAAAGTTAAAGAGCGCGTTCGGCTAGTAGATAGGAGCACTGTAGCTCAGCTGATTTTAGATGATTGAATAGTATTCTGTGAGAGACAATAAGCTGAAACAATCCAAGACCGTACCAGCCGAACACACTGAAAAACATTTAACTCATCGGTGAGGAGAACGACATTTATTTTGGGACAGAGGGAGTATATAATAATGAACATTGAATGCTGGGTTGTTGCATTGGAGGGCGCATAGCTCTGATTGATCACTGCTGCGACAAGCTAGCTTGTCTCGTGTGCCCTCTCCTCCGTGTCATCTAAATTTGCTGATATGCTCGGCAATATGAAAAAATGTTGTACTTGCTCTAAGGGCGGTTCGAACCCAGAATCTATGAGATAGTACTTGTCTAGAAACTAAATATAGAAAACATGTTTCTAATGGATGATTTCTTTAAAAATATAGTTTTGTCCAATCACATGTCTTCTATCTTCTATCATTTACCTATCATATCTTTTTATATTTTGGTTCGTGTGAAGATATGGTTTCAAAGAAACCATTTCTTTCTCTCTTCCTCATTAATTCCAATATCACATCACTATTTTGCTTAGTTTGACATTCTAATTAATAAGTAACATAGAAACCATTTAGTTTCTAGGTTATATATAACTGCCCTAATAAGAGAGGCAGTTTTCAAAATGCACCATCGGCCAGGGGCAGATCTAGGGCCCGGGCTGCAGCCCGGGACGAGTCCATGTAGCCCCTGTAACATATGTGGTGTTTAGCCTAAAAACTATGATCTTAATTAGACAAAATGGAGGTCTAGGAAGCAAGATCAGACTGTTTTGAACGTGAATCAGCAGCTTAGTCCGGGACGCAGCCCGGGACGCAGCCCCGTTCTAGATCCGCCCCTGCCATCGGCTAATAAAAAACGGTACAGGGGAGGGTATATATTATTATGCTTTAATCACAATGCAAACCATGATAACTGTAGTGTAACCAGCTGGCCAAAACACATAATAAGTTTAACTACCCTTCTCCTCCTGAAGGGAAAGTGCAGCGAACCCAGAAAGACACTTCTCGAATGTGAGAATGGTACATCACCTACTGTCTTTACTTGAAACCTTATTCGTTCAGTGCACATAGCCATAAGCAGAGCACCCTACCTACACGCTAGAAGTACGCTGCAGTATCAGCAGTACGGCACCATTTAGTAGTAGTATCTCTTTACAGAAACAGTGAAAGATGGACCGTGAAATGCGAACGAACTACGTGATAACCTGGCCTGGACTCATGGAGAATCAGGAGGAGGCTGTGACCTGTGAGGCCAACGACGGATGATCGGCTCCGAGCAGCAGGGATTTGACAATGGTGTCAGCCATCCCGTCGGCGAGCGGGAAGAGGTGTCCCGACTTGGGGAGCTCGTGGTAGACGACCCACGGCAGCTTCTCGCTGATGTACCTGGACAGGCTGACCGGCACGATGAGGTCCTCGGCGCCGTGCCACAGGTGCACCTTCCCCGCCCCCTCCTGGACATCATCGGCGGCGTCGGCGAACGGGTTCTCCAGCTGCAGCGGGCTCCAGCTCCACTTCCCAAAGCCGACCATCATGTCCCGGTGCAGGCACTCGTGCTCCCCCTGCTGCCTGATCTGCGGCTGCAAAACAAAAATCACACAGCACGCATTCACACGCGCACGGCGAAAACCTGTGAACAAACTTGGGCCTGGGCCATGTTTAGTTGCCTGAATTTGGCGCCGCAAAAAACACTGCAGCACACTGTAGTATTTCGTTTGTATTTGGTGATAATTGTTCAATCGTGGACTAATTAGGTTCAAAATGTTCGTCTCGCAGAGTACAATCAAACTGTGCAATTAGTTTTTGATTTCGTCAATATTTAGTACTCCATGCATGTACCGCAAGTTTGATGTGACGGTGAATCTTCTTTTTGCATAGTGTGAAAGTTGAGAATTTGGGGTGAACTAAACATGGCCCTGATTTATTTGCTTCCAACTACCAACTTTGACACTATGCAAAAAAAAAGATTCCCCGTCATATCAAACTTGTGGTACATCAAACTGATAAGCGGTTGGGGTTCTCTAGCATCGGAAGTTAAATTCAGTGAAAACTTCGTAATTCTTGAGAACAATGTGCATTTAAAGATCCAAACTTGATCGTTTTTTATCTCGGATATATGCAGTTTCGTCGGTCATGCCGCTCCGATGTTGTGCCAATTGGTAAGCTGATCCATAGTGTCCAAATCGCCAAATGGGATCAACAACAAAACGCCATTCTGAAGATTTTGAGGACACGCATCATATACAAATCTCCTGACTCCGCGTATATTTTTATTACCGACTGAATCTCATCATCCCACCCTTACCATAATGGCATAATCCCTAGCGCGATAATCCCTAGTCCTCGATCTGCATCCTAAATAGTAAACACTGATCACTCATCTCCGAGCAGAAGCGACCTGACGATAGCGTCGGGCATGCCGTCGGCGACCGGGAACAGGTGGCCGGCCGTCGGGAGCTCATGGTAGATGACCCATGGGAGCCTCTTGCTGATGTACCGCGACAGCTGAACCGGCACGTACAGGTCCTCGACGCCGTGCCACAGGTGCACCTTCACCTCGCCTTCGGCGCCGGCGAACGGGTTCTCCATCTCCAGGGGGCTCCAGTCCCACTTCCCGAAACCGACCATCATGTCGCGGTGCAGCGAGTCGTGCTCTCCCTGCTGTCGGACCGGCTTCTGCAAACAAAAGAAAAACAGCGCAGGGTTGGAGTCACATATCATGATTTCAGTAGCCTACGATGCCAATCGCTGCTTCGTGGCGGTCGTCTTCTAGTTCTTGCCTGATAGGTTCGCTCCATGAACTTGTGAACTAGAAGCCTGTCCTCCTTGGATAAGATGGCGGGGTCGCCGTCCTTGACGCTGGAGCCGCGGAACAGCTTCTGGGTGTTCCACCAGTGCGTCAGCCACGGCAGGTGGTGAGCGACCCAGACCGCGCGCTGGTCTTGCGGAAACTGCACGCGCCAGGCCTCCTTGACGACGTTCGGCGGGAAGCCGGACCACCAGAAGTTGCCCACCGGGGCAAGAATCGCCACGCCGGCGAGCCTGGAACGATTCCATTTCCAGGACGAAAACATGACAGGGAAAAGCTGAAGTACTCTGTACTCGTTGCAACATTCAATTGGTCGGCCTACTAGGCCGCTAGTTTATAGCACCCACCTGTGCGGGATGTACTTGAGGCAGCTCCACATGATCTCGCCGCCCATGGAGAAGCCGATGAGTTGGAACTTGGGCCCGAGCTGGAGATTGTCCGCCAGCTCCGCGATGTCAAGGGCGATGCTCTTCTCTGTCCGGGCCGGGTGGGCGTCGCTCTCGGCGTACCCGGGCCGGTCGAAGGATAGCAAGTAGATTCCCAGCTCTTCCAACAGCCCCTGCGTCAGTTTACAACAGTTCATCACAGAGTCAAAAACTTTTCTGAAAATAAAAGAAGAGTGGCACTGGAGTAGTATCTGCGATCACTGTGTCAAAAAAAGCTCGAGTCTTTCATTCAGAGTAAGCGGTTAACAAAAGGAACTGCTCATAGTCATATCTGCACGGACTGCACCTGGGAAACATTCAGCACGTCATATCTACAGCAGTCGAAGCCATGGACGAATATCATCTTGTACTTGGCCTTCTCCTTGGGGACGCCGGACTCCAGGTACGCCAAGTGCCTGCCGTCCCTGAGCCTTGTCCTGGGCGCCGTGACCGGAGGCCCGCCCGGCGTGCCGGGGATCTTAGACGGCGGCGGCTGAATCCGGGCGTACAGCAGCGCCGAGAAGAAGACGAGCAGAGCTAGTGCCGCCGCCTTCTTGCCTGCGCCTGAGAGACGAGAAACCGCAGTGGTTAAACGTGCACCAAGTTTGGTAATCCCGAACAAGAACAAACTAAAGCGCTCTCTTGAGAAAACAGGCCACGAACACGAATTGAAATCATGTCAGTGGAACGCCGGCCGGGCAAGCGAATACACCAGAGGTCGCCGCGCCCGGCGGTGCGCTCGTCTTACCGTGCGCGGCACCAGAGCGACCGGCGGAGCCTGCGACGTCCGTCCCTGCCATCGGCTAGCTGCGTCCACGGTCCCGCGGCGGCCGCTGAGCGGAAGGGGCTCGCTTCGGCTCCCTGAGTCTCCGAAGCCGTGGACGCACACGAACGCGCTTGACACACGAGACAGGGACGCCTGCCGCTGCCGCCGCCGCCGAGCCTCTTTGCTCCAATGCTCCCTTATAAAAATCATATAAATGTACGCCCGCGCTACCGTTGGCGACCACGGGACCACGTGGAGCAGCTTGCGCGCGAGATGAGGCCAGGATGCCACGAGCCCGCAACTGCACGAGCGTCCCGTGCTCCCATCCCATCCCAGGCAGCACACAGCACATGGGAAATGACACCGTGCACCATCGTTGTGCCCAAACGGTGGACGGATGGCAGGGGCAGAGCTAGAGCAAACGTGAGGAGTGCGTTTGTCTCGTGGATGTATAGGATTTTACCGTATGATACGAATACGATGAAAATTTGATCATATTGACTATTTTTTAATATTTTTGTGGTGTATATAGATCCGCCCATGCGGATGGGTACTGCAACTGCAAGTCAGCAATCCCAAGCGCTGTCACTCCACGTCCAACGCTCCGTGATGCTGGATCATCTAGGCTTCGTCAAGCCATGTATACAGTGGTTAGATAAAAAAAAGCAGGTATAACCTGCGATGGGACGGTAGTGGTTTCAATTACTGTTGACACAAAATGTGACGCACTGTGCCGCACACACAGCAAGCCGAAAAGCGTAGCTTCAATCGGATGCCCGGGTGCTTCGTGATCCGGAACGTGCCAGTCAGTTTGACCTGAAAGAAACTGACAAGGGATAAAACAGTTAAATGTCAAACCGGAACATGTCGGGTGAGACCGAATAGCTCCGTATATACGACCTCTTCGAAGCCACTTACAACGACATACGACTATAGGAAGTCATGTTCGCCAACAAGTTTATAAATCATTCGCTAATCGTAAGATGGACATACGTAGAGATCGATTGCCGAATGCATATGCATGGGAAGACATGTTTGAACAAGTGAAATTGATTATGCGTTAATGCATATCCAAGCTCAAAGAAATCAAATTTAGTTGGGGTCCATGAAGAAGGAACGTGTAGATAAACATGATTAAGCCAATCTAAAACTCAAGCCTACGCACGCATACGACACCTAGTTTCGCAAAAACTTAAACGTGATTAACATACATGAACCCACAACATGTGACAATCTAGATTAAAATAATTTGGCCATTACGAGCATGTTATCTATTTGCAAAGGTATTATGAAAGTAATGATCATTGAAGCTCGAATAAAACCATAGAAGAGGGCCGAACAATATCAATCTAGATTGGGCAAAAAGTGTGTTACAAATATATAAAATATTTAAAACATGCAACACAGATAACTTGATGAATCTATTTAGATTTTGCCGTAATCTAATAGAGCCGATAACCATCTTGCTTCCACTAAGCATATTGAGCAAACGCCGCTGCCATTCGGTATCTACTCATAAACAAAGTATAAGCGAAGACTTCTTGATTGTCAAGCAAAGATCCGCCGCATACGATCATTGAAAACAAACAAGACTACTTGCATCACGCTTAAATCCACCGCATGATACTAAACATGATAACAAGGTTGTCGGAACTTACGGAGGTCGACGGATCGATGACTCCTCTCGAAGAACTCGGCGACACGGCACAAAAGGACTCGAAAGTTGGCACGGGGCGGTTGTATTGATTTGGTTGTGAACGCCTATTACAATGGTCGAGGGTCAATATTTATACCCTAGACGAAACACGAGTCCTAAAAGACTACGATTTACAAAGGAACTCTTTAAATAAACTTGGAAACTACGATTCCTTGCCCCAAACTCTCGTAGTCCTTTATTATTACAACTTTCATCTTCTCGATCGGCTTTGCTTGCCATCTTCGCTTTCCCGAATGGAGTTACCGCCTTCCGTAATAACCGACCGCACAAGCATTTAGCCGACCGCTTGCGTTATTTGCCGAACACTCTTCTTCCCGCATGTGGGTCCACCCACATCTTCCGAAATTGACCAAAATCCAAAGTTAACACATATGCCCCTCAATTTCGGGATAAAAGTTGTTTTATTCTGAAATTGACCACAAGCTCTTTCATCCTCCTAGGTCATCACCGTTCAAAACGCGCACATCGCCCCAAAATTTCAATCTTTCAAAAAGAACTTCAACCTCCTCTAAATCTTCAATGGCGACCCAGATGAAATCCTGAGGTAAACTTTATTTATATTCGCAACTTTCATCCCATCCTTCCGCTCCTTTTGACTTATTCCCCTCTGATTTCAATCATCTTCTAAAGGAGTACAAGAGCCAGATTTTGATCCCTTACGCCAAACCCCGACTCCTATTTCCTTGGCCCAATGGGAAACCCCGACCCTTCCGAAATCATTGAGAAGGAAACTCAAAGAATTCCTTTCAAGTCCTGAATTACCTCACCAAACCGATGGCCAAACACGTTCAAGAATTGGCCATTTCCCCAATCACCGGATGGCGAATCGGATGTGAGAATGTTGGAGAAGAGCAAAGACCATCGGGACAATCAGACATCGGTCATTGTCCGGAGTTATCTTTAGCAGAGACACCGTGAATGATTCCTTCGATAGCAGACTTCTCATTTTTGGTCCGACGCTACCAATGCCTTTATCTTCGGCCATGGTATTATGACCATCACTCTAGCCGACGATACATGATGACCGGTTTGAATGTGTCATTGCCAAGATATCCTTATAAGTACAAGAGCAAGAGTAATCAAAGAGCCGTTAGTTCGGATGTGGATGGGTCAAACATATTGTAATTACATGAATGCATCTGGCGCCGCCTCTCGACAAAGAGTTGAAAGCTTTCATGAATATGTGGCTATGCGTATTCATTTTTGTGGAAAATCCAATGAACCAACCACGAATCACATGGTAATGGTCTGAAGACTTAGCTGCAGCACCCAGATCCCATTAGGCAAATATCTTTTAGGGTCTGCTTATCATATGATGCATCGATCACCCTTCGAGATGTGCCAAGGTGGAGAAATTTCTTGTGTGAACGGCCCTGGTGGCTAATTCAAATGTGGCTCCAACTATATATGCATCGATAACCCCCGTGAGCCTCTTCAACCTAAGCTTCCCCTCGCTTAACTATGTCTTTGAAGCAAGACAAAGACAAAGAAAGGTTAAAGCTTGTCGGACTTATGGGGAAGCAAAGAAGATCTATAAGCATTGATATAGACATTGGTCACCTCTTCAAGCTATTTTTCAAAGGATTCGCAATGTGCTCTCGGTTTCCTTACGTGGAAAATGAAGATCCGACTTTGCCCTCGCAAGTTTAGCTATGAAATTGGTTGTTCGGGCCAAGAATCCACAGATTTTCAACTCCTTTATCAAACCTTGCACTTTGCCAAATTAATTTCATCATGGGAGATTAGTACAATCCACCTATGAGTTCTATTATCCCAACATGGTAGCCGGACAATTAGGATGCGCCAACCGCCCCAAAATTCCTCTTCTCAACAATCATAAAATCAAGGGAAGCAATAATGTAAGGAATGGAAGCCAAGAAGGTCTTTGAATTAGGATGGGAATTACCAATATATGAACCATCTCCATTTGGGCTAATAGATGCTGCTCATCCCCTCTTTGTCTCTTGGTGGCAAGAATGGCATGCTCATATCTTCAATATAGCAGTTCATTCTTTATGCAAAAACTTGCAACCCGATTTTGCTTCCGATAAAGAGGTAATTTCATTATGCCCATCATTTCTTATTCTTGAATCCACTTCTTATTTTAACATCCGGTTATGCATGGATCTTGAGTTTACTTCCCCGCCAAAGCAATTCAAGATTATCCGGTGGTCCCAAACTCCGCTTCTGGGGTTTGATGCTCCAAATTTAAAGGAATTCATGAAAACTTCGCAACTTTGGATTCAGCACCTCTAAAGGCACTCATAAGAACTCCTCACATTTCAAATTCAGTGCATCTTCCAGAGGAAAAAGCAAAAGGAAAACACACAAAAGTTTTCTCTTACCCAAGAAACCAAGGACCAAGAAAGCCAGATTATCCCTTAAGGCATGAACCTTCTGTTTTTCTTATCAGTTAACCATTTCATTTGGCAGTAAGCCTGACTATCTTTACATTCATTCCTTCCACTGCAGCCACAAGTCGAAATTCCCATACCGGGTAATACCTCAGCGCCTGTAGAACCAACCCCTGAAGTTTCTACTGAAGATGAAGAAATTCATGATAGCGAAATTTCAGAGACCCATGAAGCTGAAGGTTCAAAGGCTCATAAACCTGATGAGACTATAGGTAACATTGCTCAACCAATTCTCCTCTCCTTTCTCTTTAACAACATCTATCTCTTATGCTCATTATCACTTACTTTACTGAAATAGATGAGATCTTAGATGAACTGGCAAGGGAAACTTCTCCTGATCAATCTCCAGATCCGTCTCCTCTGAACCTTCAATCAAGTCCTCCAGCAAGCCAGGGTATAACTCATCCTGATGACCAATCAGCCCAACAGGTAACGCCTTGTCTCATACTATATTTTAGCAAAATTACCCAATCGGCTAACACCTTCTTTCTTTCTCTTTGTTTAGAAGAACATCACTAAACTGACCACCAGTTACTCCTTCTCTATTGAGGACTACATTATTGAGAAAGGTGAAGAGATCACTTCTCATCAAACTTTGTCACTGGAGAATCAGGCTCGGCTAAAAGAAGTGATTATTCTACTGAATAAGGATACCATTAGTCTGGTTCTCGTAATGCGACTGATAAAAGACCTTCTTGAACTCATTGATCAAGATATCCTTCGCTCTCAAAGCTCCCCTAGAATCTGCAGCCCATCTTGATGATCACTTTGCTATGGTGAAAAGGGCAACCAAGAACATATCTTCGAGGGCAGCTCTGCGAGAAGGACGATCTTTGAAAAAAGCTGGAGATTAAAGATCTTCACTCTCATATCCGCACTTCACGAGAAATTCTTTAGCAACCT